AAAATTAAAAAAAAAAAAAAAACACAACCCTGAGGGCCGGCCCGGTGGTGAAGTGGTAAAGTTCACATGCTCCGCTTCAGCAGCCCAGGGTTCGCTGGTTCGGATCCTGGGCGTGGACCTACTCACCGCTCATCAAGCCATGCTGAGGCGGTGTTCCACATAGAGCACCTAGAAGGATGTACAACTACAACATACAACTATCTACTGGGGCTTTGGGGAGAAAAAAGGAGGAAGATTGGCAACAGATGTTAGCTCAGGGCCAATCTTCCTCAAACAAAACAAAACAACACTGTATACAAACGCAACTTCAACCAGTGTCAGTTTTAGGGACCCAATTAAAATAGGATATCTTGAAAAGCAGGACACTCCATGGATGACAGTGTATTTTTCCTTTTATCGTGAAACACCCCAACATTTCCAGTTGTATCTCTCTCAGTGAAAGAAACGTCGGTCCCCTACCATACACACTTCATGACACCTCTCCCTTCTGTTTCTTTTTTTCCAACGAAGCTTTTTCATACCTCAAATTTCTGAGCCTCTAGTCTCAGTTTTTCTATATTTTGGCTGACTTCTGTTAATTTGTGATCCAAACTGGCCGGGTCCCCCATCTGAGGGTTCTTTAGGTAAACGTCTTTCATTTTCGTTATGGCATCTCTGAAAAAAAGAACGAGCAGAGCACGGTGAAGGTTAATGTCATCAGCCAGTGACATCCTCCTGCCACCCTGAAAACACGTGAATGGGGGCGTGGGGAGACAGTACCTGAGTGTGCACTGGAAGAGAATGTTGGGGCCAGGTTTCACTCTAAAACTCCTGTATAAGAATTCTGCTACCAAAGTCTATATAATCCAGAGAGTGATATTTAAATTTCAGTTGCCTTTTCTGAATGTATCTCTCTATTGTTTTCAGCGAGAGACATAAATTCATCCCGCCCCTCCCCCTGCCCCAAACAACAATAAACAAAACCCAAATATTTCCATGCGCATATTCCTTATGCAAACCAAAGCTACAGCTGGCATCTCGGGCCTTGTGGGCTGCAGTGTTTACCTCATGAAGGAAGCAGTTAATTGCTTTGGAAATTTTATTATACACCATCTCAACTATTAAGAAACCAAAGCCACAGTTGGTATCCAAGACGGGTGGGCAACAGAGCCTGAAAGCTACGTATTGCAAGGTTCCACACCCTTCCAGAATCCTGTTCTGGACGCCCACCCACAGCAGCCCGCATGAGGAATCCCTAGGGAAGCGTTATCTCTAGGACCAAAGGGCTCTGCTAACTTGACCCCAGCTTCGAGGGACTTTCAGTAGGGTTTAGTTGTTACAAGTTTAGAGCAAATGATGCTCTGCCAGGGGTAAGGGGCCAACTTTAATGAGCTTCAGCAAAAGAAAATCTAAACCAATCATACAACACAAGACCAACAAACCAAAGCATATTTTGAGTCATGGGAAATAGCTGAACTGAAAATACAGAAATAACAGGGAGAGGATTTCCACAAGTCCTCACCACCCCTCTACCTGGCTCCCTGCATCCGAGCACACGCAGCCTGCACCCCCGGTGGATACTGGGGAACTGTCCGCTCTTCCAGAAGACCACGCCCCCACTAGAGCCCTTATCCACTAGCATTCCCAGCCCCCTGACCTCGCCCCACTTCCTTTTTCTTTCCATAACGTGTCACTTTCCAACATTATATCATTGACTTTAATGCTGATTGTCTATTGTCTGTTCTCTTACTAGAATGGAAGCTCTTCGTGAAAGCTCAATGGGCTCATGCCCTTCTGTTAACCTGACACAGCCCCAGGGGCAGGACAACGCTGGCACATAGCAGATGCGCAATAAATGTTTGTTAGATGAACACATGTTCTTACAACAAACAATCTGTAACATCGTCCCCCTTTACAAAGTTCCTCTCTTGACTTCATGGCCTACCCCTCCAGCCACCGCCCTATTTCTCAGCAAAACTTCTCAAGAGTTATCTAACTTCATTATCTTCCATTCTTCTCTGGGTCTCTCCTGATCAATCTTATCTCTCCAGAAGTTTATCAATTATATTAATCTTTTCAAGGAACCAACTTTTGCATCTGTTGATCCTTTCTGTTGAATGCACATTTTTTTTTGTGAGGAAGATTGGCCCCAGCTAACATCTGCCAATCCTCTCTCTTTTTTTTTTTTTTTTCCTGAGGAAGACTGGCCCTGGGTTAAAATCCATGCCCATCTTCCTTTACTTTATATGGGACACCGCCACAGCATGGCTTGACAAGCGGTGCGTCGGTGCATGCCCGGGATCCGAACCGGCAAACCCCGGGCCGCCACAGTGGAGCGCGCGCACTTAACCCTTGCGCCACTGGGCCAGCCCCTGAATGCACATTTTTTCTATTTAATTAATTTATACTCTTTCCTTTATTATTTCCTTTATTCTATTTTCTTTGGTTTAATTTGCTGTTCTTTTTCTAACTTCTTGGATATGTAGCTCACCAATTTTTAGCTTTCTTTGTTTTCAATATGTATTGAAAGCTATAAATTTCCCTTTATAAGCATGGCTTTAGTGACATCCTGGAAACTGATAAGTGGAACGTGTGTTTCATATATTTTTGTGAGGAAGATCAGCCTTGAGCTAACATCCATGCCAATCCTCCTCTTTTTGCTGAGGAAGACTGGCCCTGGGCTACCATCTATGCCCATCTTCCTCCACTTTATATGGGATGCCGCCACAGCATGGCCTGACAAGCGGTGCGTCAGTGCGCACCCGGGATCCAAACCCGGGCCACCAGCAGCGGAGCGTGTGCACTTAACCACTACGCCACGGGGCCGGCCCCTCATATATTTTCTAATATCTATTATGACTTTTTTCTTTAGTCTCTGTGTTATTTAGAGCTACATTTCTTAATTTCAAAATTTTTGTTATTGGTATCCAGCTCAATTGCAAGCTTCAGAGAACATACCTTGCCCGGTATCCATCCTTTGATGTTTGAGATTTGCTTTATGAAATCAGAGTATGCTCAATTTTTGGAAATGTTCCATGTGTGATTGAAAAGAATGTGTATTGCGCAGCTGTTGGATATGTGTATTAGGTCAATTTTGTTAATTATATTACTCAAATCTTCTATCCTGACTCTCTGTTAATCTGTTCCATCAATTACTGAGAGAAGTGCATTAAAAATCTCTCATGTAATAATATATTTGGATTTCTTGTACTTCTGTCAGTTTTTGCTTTTTTATGTTTTGATGTTATGGCTATTATGGTCATACAGATTGAAAATTTTATATCTTCCTGGTGAAGTGAACCATTTGTTATTTGAATCTCTTATTATTATGAAGTTGACCCTCTTGAGTTGAATAGTTTGGTTTTTTTTCTTTGGCCTGCAAGTCAGTCCCGTCCACCATTTTCTTTTGGTTGGCATTTACACAGTGTGTCTGTTTCCATTCTTTTACTTTCAACTTTACTAAACCTTATGGGTTAGATGGGTCTTTTGTATATAGCATACAGGTGGATTTCGTTTTTTTGTCCAGTCTGAAAATCTCTTTTTTAACTGGACCGTGTTTACATTCAACATCTCGATTCATTTTATTTTACAAACACTTATGTGCCAGGCATTGTTCTCAGCACTTTCCAGACACTGAACATTTAATCCTCACACAAACAAGCATCTTAACGCCTTTTTCAAGGTGAGGAAACCAAGGTGCTGAGAGCTCAAGGAGCTTGTTCAAAGTCTGCACAGAAACAGGTGGGACCAGATGTGAACCCAGGGTGTCTGGAGGGCTTGGTATTTTAAATTTACCATCCTCCTTTGTGCTTTTGACTTGTCCTGCCTATTCGATACATTTTTTCTCTCCATTCTTGACTTTTTGGATTGATTATTCAAAAAAAGAAAACTAAGGGGACACTTTGGCCAAGCAGGGAGACCAGTGGACTGGGACGTGCAGGGACAGTGGTTCAGGAAGACTTTTCCAGATCATGTCACTTCTGCTCAAAACCTTTTCTTTTCTGTTCCTCCTGCACAAAATGTAAGTCGCATGAGAACAGAGGTTTCAATGCAGAAATAGAAGTATAATGATGTACACCTGAAATTTATACAATGTTATAAACCAATGTTACTGCAATAAAGAAAAAATTAAAAAAAAAATACAAATGTCACTCCACTATGGCCAGTAGAAAAAAAAAAAACAGTAAAAAAAAAAAAAGAACAGAGGTTTCTGTATGTTTTGTTCACTGCTTTATCCTCAGTGCCTGGGATATTTCCTGTACACAGTAAATGCTCAATAAACAGTCGTTAAGTGAATGATTGAACGTGATTTGCCTCATTACCAGCAAGGGCTGCTGTGGGGGTTAAAAGGTTAACCAGGTTCCATGGCCACGACCCAAAAGGCAGAGAAATTTTTCTCCATGATTTTGGACAATTAGAGTCTGTCAACAACCTATAAAATGTCATTTCGGATACCTGAGTGGTAACTTCTTCCTCCTGTACAAAATATAACTGCTCACTTATTACGATGTTTAATTGATTTATACAATAATTCCTTTTATATTTGGTTCTACAGGTACATAAAAAGTACAAAGACAAAACTTTAATAAAGTATATTTCTAACACAAGACTAGAACAAAGTTAATTATATGTGTTCCTATTTTTTATACATCGTTAACAATGTTTATAAAATGACCTATTTTTCAGGAGTTGCTCTACCAGAGGTAAAAGAATAAAAATTACTTTTCTTTTGATGTACCCAAACAGTACTGCCTTACCAATTTTGTTTGTTTGTTTTTTGCATCACCAAATTTTAACCCCAGCTTCAATATAACTAAGTTTATGTAGGCTCACCATTTGGCCTATTTATAGAGCACAAAATCTCAAGTTATCTTTTAGAAAATCTCAAGTTCCAAACTCAAATAAAGGAACGATTCACCTAATTGACTCAGTGAGAATTTATAAGGTGAGAGACAATGAATAAAGTGGCTTTTCAATCAGTGTTATGAGCAAGTGTCCCCTGAGTGATGTGAAAGTGTTACAGGTTATCAATGTGGGAAGGGAAGACAAGCGAAAAGAGGTATGAGGGCCGGCCCCGTGGCTTAGCGGTTAAGTGTGCGCGCTCCGCTGCTGGCGGCCTGGGTTCGGATCCCGGGCGCGCACTGACGCACCGCTTCTCCGGCCATGCTGAGGCCGAGTCCCACATACAGCAACTAGAAGGATGTGCAGCTATGACTACAACTGTCTACTGGGGCTTTGGGGGGAAAAATAAATAAATAAAATCTTTAAAAAAAAAAAAAAAAGAGGTATGAGATCTTTTCTTACTTTTTTTTTTTTTTTGCATGGGCACCAACCTACCACCCCTAGGATCGAACTTGCACAACAGCCCAGAAAACCGAGAGCCCCTGTGGTGGGGCCTGATGCAGAGCTTCTCCAGAGCAAGCAAACACTGACACTCCTAATGGCAGGTGGTGTGTATAATAAGACATAGTGAGACTTGTTGTCTAGACACCACCAATACACGCTATTAGAAGACAAGAAGGCCTGAGAACCTATGGAAGGCTGATTTTTGCTTATCGTCAAATAGAAAGAAAGGTACATTTTGGACTCAAAGCTAGAATGTAGGGCAAGGGAGAGGGTGGGGTTCATGCCACCTTCCTCTTCCTCGTTTGTACCAAAAAACTCACCCATACACTCAGGAAAAAAGAGATAACCAGATGTATTTTGTTCCCAAAACTCAGAATAAAACCTATTTATTAAAAGAAATCTCCCAGTCTGTAATAAAGCAATCCAGTAGACTATCTATGACGAAACATACGGCTGAAATAATCGCTTATCTTAAGGTCTACTTTAGGATTCCCCATCTTTCCGAACTGAACGTGAATTTCTTAAGGAGGCATATTGATCACCTCTACCTTTGATCCATCTCCTTTTGAATCTCTTTATTTAATTCATCCACCTTCTGCTGTAGCTTTTTCCTTCTCTGCTCAGGTGGGAGGTTGCTGAAATCCTCTGGCGTGGCACCCTGCAGATGCAAACACAAGTGAGCCAGAAAGCCTATGGTGCTCCTTGAAAAGAGATACCGAGTAAAAGCCTGCAGGAAGGATTCCCCAGACACCAGGGGGACAGACGTCTGCGTGTGCGTTTTTGTGAAATAAATTAAGCTCTTTCCCACGCTGAGATGTGGAATCAATGCATGCAAACTGCAGAAGTCCCACAAACCATCTCCTATAGTCCATGGATGCCGGCCGCACCGCCTCCGAAAAGGCAGGGAGCCATGCGGCGGGGAGGAGAGAGGAAGAAATACTTCTGACTCCAGTGAGGATCAGTGAAAAACAAATTCTGAGACAGATTCTTCGCTTTACCGTCAGTGTCAGTGGCAACACGGAGGTTTTAAGGAAGTTGATGTTTTCTTCGTAAAAAACAGTGATAAGTGCCCCCATCAACTGTTTTGTGTCTAAAGCACTTTTTCCCCCCTAGTCTGAGTATTCCTTCCCGTCTCTTCACACAGGCTGAGGCCAAAAGTTTCCATCTCCGTGAAGTGACAGATGGGACATCTAGTTCCTCAGAGAATGTGAGTGAAAAGGACATTAAAAAAAATACATCCTCCCCATCCCCCCACGCACTCTTTCCTCTGCTGCCTCTAAAAGCCAGGTTACTTCTTTTTGACATCTTTAGGGTAATCAGAAAATTCACATAAGTTGTGGTTATCAAGTGCTTTTACTTAAAGGAGGCTATTTTCATAAAGAATGAGAAATTTATTCAATACCCAGGGATAAGCCGGGGAATTTAGAAAAGAGATTTTACTGTGGAACCAACTGAACAAAGGCAAGACTGGCTTGGGAGTGGGCGGAAAAGAAGGGCTCCGGATAATGTCATTCCAAAATCGAGCTGAACTTGCCAAGCAGCTTTGGGAGCTTGTGACCTCAGTTCCTCGGCTGCTTATGATAAAATGCCAGGCTGCGGGACTGGAAGTGTGTGGTTCAGCAAATAGTTTACCACCAAGGCCACGCAAAGACCTTTCAGCTAATGCTCTCAAAGACTCGAGGGTAGGTGTGTGTGTGTGTGTGTGTGGGAGGAGATAAGACTTGAGTGAAACCAGAATAATGGCAGTGACTACTCCCTAACGCCAGACCAAGGAAGTTCAATTTGCCTCTAAGACTGAGATGAAGCAACGCAATCTTCAATATAAACATAAACCAGAGTTGTTTCTTCTTTGCCATATACTATTGTGCTAGAATACCTGAAACTTAATTATGTGCTTTTTAACTTGCTCAATTCGATCACTCAGCCCAAAAGGTCAATATTTCGTTTTCATGTTGAACTTACAACAGATCAGCATGTTTTCTAGAATTGAGGTGTTTTTTTTTTTTTAATGCTGGAATGCAACAAAACACAGTGTAAGATACACTGTTCCAGAAGTGAGGAGATCTAGTAAGCGGTCATTGTTAATTCATTAACATTCATTGAGCCTTACCATGTGCTACGAGTCCAAAAGAACTTTCTACAATGATGGAAACGTCCTCATATCTGCACTGTCCAATACAGCAGCCACACATGGCTACTGAGCACTTGAAAAGTGGCTAGTGCAACTGTGGAACTGAAATTTAAAATTTTAGTTAATTTTAATTAAAATTTAAGTAGCCACATGTGGCTACCATCTTGGCCGACACAGGTCTAGACTGTGAACAGGTGTAAGATTTCCACTGGTGTGTGAAGAGCTGCAAACAAATCTGTAAGTCAAACACACTGTCCCTATGACTTCCAAATATAGATCCCCTAAACAACAAAAACACGCAGCCCTGATTATTTACAAAATCGAAAACAATTAAATAATAAAGAAATGAATTCTCTTCACTTGATCAGGAGTTAGTCTAATTGACTAATGAGGTCCCTTTCAATAGATAGTCTATGTTTCTGTGTTGTTATTTAAAAACTAATCTCAGCAACTATGCCTCAGACAAACTTCATGTTGCCACCAGAGATTCAGGTCAATAGCTTCTTCTAGATCCAAAGAAACTTAAGGTTTCTGGAAAGTACCTTAAAACATCATTTAGTCCCATTAGCCTTTTGAAGCTTGAATTCTTTCAAACAATACTCTGACCTATGATTCATTCTGCCACAAAGGAATTTTTATTTCTAGCTTTGAGTCAGAATAGATTTTCTGAAATCTTTGGAGTGGCCCAGTTTACAAAGAGACCGGCCATACCAGGTAGTGGAAGAGGGGGTCATACGCACATAGGTATATTTTCAATGGCTGTGGCTCCAAGAGGTTCTTGTTTCACGCGCTACTGGAATCAAACACTTGCTCCCGAGCTGCTTCTGGAGTTTTATTATTTTTACACCCAAGCCATCTTTGTGCCACACTTTACTTCTTTATTAACTCAAAGTAATGGTATAAAACAACAATTCAATACCAGGTTGGAAGTGGTTTGTATCTCAAACAGAAAGACTGCCTGATACTGTTATCTTTTGCTGCTAGCACCTCAGCAAAAGAACAAATAAAGGAAGAAAGAAACCCTGGCATCTGAGACACTCCCAGTTAATTGTTCCAATTTCTCCCAAATCCATACTGCTGATGAGCTCCGTTCATTTAAGCATCTGAATCTTTCCTTCCTGTAGAGACCTTAATCAAGGACTCTTCTCAGGATTTTATTTCACAATCTAAGAAGGTTTAATTTAATAAAATATTCATTTTCTTTAGGGTTGGGTCAGATGCCAAATACTGAGTCCGGTTGAAAAAATTATGTATATATGAATATGTATATACTTGGCCACATACAAATGTATATATAAGGATAACCAGAAAATATTATCCTACGTTCTCAACAGCAGTACATAAAGCACTGATCTTATTCCTGGTTGAATTGTCACAGTTTATCATTGTTCATAATTTTAGGATAGTCTCAGCTGTGGTGTTTGAGAATACTACGTAACTGACACATATTTGGAGGACAATTATGGGTTATATGGTTAAGAGTTTCTTTTAATAAATTTAATGATTAGTTTGACTGTTTACTAGGGCTGTACAATTAAGTAGAACAAGATAGAACACTAAGTCAATCACTGTAGAAAGATTTAGGGGGCTCTGTTCACTGTCCATAAAATCATCTTGTGATTGCTTGAATCAGCTACGCACAAGGCACCAACGTATTTATGTAGCACCTTAAAGATCTCACGGTTTTCAGTTCTCAAAGGCTGCCTGAGATCCGAATTTGAGACGAGCATCATTTCTGCTTGTCTCCCTCAGGTTCCCAGCGTTCTCCATCTGCTTCTATGGCTCCCAGGGAGGAGCACCTTTCAACTATTAAATTTACTTTTATTCAAAATGATCCAATAAACAAACTCCCCCATATTTAATATTTATGTTCCTATTTAAAGTTTCTCAACATTTGTCATCCTCCGAAGGCCCCAGTAAAAAAGAAAACCAAATCATGAGTTAAGCGTTAATTTTCTTAGCAACTTGACACAAATCAGCAGTTAACTTTGAAGGTACGTTGCACATGGCATAGCACCCACAAAACACACACCCAAACCCCGATTAGATCCAGGACATGCATGGAATAATTGTGCTTACCAGCTTGAGAGAAAGCTTCAGGTAAAAATTGAAGGGGGGAAAAAAGAGAGAGAGAGAAACAACAACACATCAGAAGAAGAGGAACTTGGTCAGTTCCACCGTATTAACATACACATAAATTCACCTGCCGCTTTGTGAACATGACTTGTAGCGGATCTGTGCAAAAGTTCACAAGAGGGGCTATTTCTACCCAAATCGTTCTTTACTGCCATGTGGACAGAGCAAAGAATAAAGATAGAAAAGGTGAGTTTCTGTTTCCAGTTCTGTATTGGTCACATCAGCCTGGAAATAAACTACGTTTGCAGTTGGTGACATATAATGATTATAAAAGACAAAAATAATCATATAGGCTTTTGTTCACCAAATTTCCCATGGAAAGTTTTACACAGACTAAAAGAGTCAGAAAAGCAATTACTTGCCCAACATACAAGTAATATTTTTATCTTCAGGAGATCTAATAAATACCAACATCGGCATTTCCTAAAGGTATTAAGGCAAACTCTCAAATTGATGAATGGGTAACCAAGGACTGAGGCTGAAGGATGATGCTCCCTCCCACCTGTGCACTGCATACCACCTCCTGCTCCACAGAAGGCTCTCAGAGGCTTTCCATCAAGCTCTGAGCCCTTCCCACAGGGGTTATAGAGCATCTGGAGAGTTAACAGAATTTGCTGCTCTTGAAAGTTACCTTTAGGAAATAGATAGCCAACTGTCTCAATTACCAAGGGGTACACATTGCTATGGATCTCCCGATAATTTATCAGGACATAGCAGCTGCAATTCTGCTGGGTCTGGAGAATAGAAAGGGATAGTGATTAGTGGACCCAAGACAGATTAGAAGGCATCTCAAAATCAGAAAAAGAAACATGGTTCTTCCTTAACAGGTGAGCCATGTGCTATGGCCATAAAGCAATATTTTGAGAGTTCAATGCATATTTATTTAGCTGTTATCAATCCTAAAAGTTCAGGCAACCGGTGGTAGGGTCCGAAACTATGTTGGAGACCAAGTACCAAAGAAAGTGCCCTTTGATTTTAAATTGGGAGAAGGGAGGGTTTTAAAAATTCCTTAACCAGATTTAACAAATCTTACTCTTAAGATTAACTCAAAGTGGACACTTCTTTGTAAATAGGCATTAAGCTTTTAAAAAAATTGTCCTCATGAGGAAAAAGACTTTTAAGGAAAGAAGTAGCAAGACAAAACTTTTGGGGGAAAAAAGTCTAGACAGTCCCATTCATGATGGCTCCCATGGAGGCAGTCTACACTAACTCCTCGAGCCCCTCCTGTGAACCTGAGCACAGATCTATTCATCACAGTTTGAGTTCCTGACAGACAACACTTATGGTGCACAGCAGAAAACTTTGCAAATATCTTCCCTACAAAGCACACTGCCATATACAGATGTTTCCTTGCACATGATCATCTAACTGTCGCTAACTCAAAGAAGGGACATTTGAACTCAGGACCCTATTTGCTTTCTGTTCAGCTACTTCCGTTACTTAAAGTTATATATTCTTTCTTAGGCATTCCAAAACCAGAATTCTAACATCAAACTAATAGCATAAGAATGTTACCACCTCATAATAAAAACAAGTCATCAGGACTGAGAATAAATCCAAATAGAAATGGGAAATAGTGAATTCTCAGACAAATCCAATTTTCTGAAGTGGACAGTGATGGGTAATCTACAAGAAGCACCATCATGTATATGGTATTCCTTTTAACGATTATAAACTGGTTTTTGGTCTTAAGTTGTAAGCCAGCCAGTTAGATCATTTAAAATCAGAAACTGAATCATCTGCTAAGAGAATACTTTTATTTATTTATTTAAAAATTTATTTTTTGTGAGGAAGATCAGCCCTGAGCTAACATCCATGCCCATCCTCCTCTTTTTGCTGAGGAAGACTGGCCCTGAGCTAACATCCGTGCCCACCTTCCTCCACTTTATGTGGGACTCCGCCACAGCATGGCCTGACAAGTGGTGTGTCGGTGCGCGCCCGGGGTTCCGAACCCGGGCCGCCAGCAGCAGAGCGCGCGCACTTAACCGCTATGCCACGGGACCGGCCCCAAGAGAACACTTTTAAAGGCTGCATTAAATGCATTGCGAGACACCTGAAGAACTAAAAAGCCGTCAGTTTCAGGCAACAGTTATGGAGCCTTGGGAGCCACAAGAGTCAATAACACATGAGGAACACAGAGCTAGCGAGTCCATGTGTTACTGGGCAGTCACAGGTACTAACCTCAAGTACAAAGAAAGGGGACAGCGAAAATAAATATGTAAGTCAATTGGTTAAAGTCCACGGAAAGTCATTTTACTATTCTATGACCTCGCTCACGCTTCTCTGATTTTTTTGGTTCTCCAAGCTTTATGAGATAACTCCCTTACGGATCCACCTGTTTCAGACGTGGATGTGGGAACTCATCTACACAACTGCCATCTGTATGAGTGTCATTCTCCTGTGACCACGCTCTGCAGCTGCGTTTTATAGATGAAATTCTGCTGCAAAATCACACCCAGTGACATCCCAGATGGCAGTCACAATCAATGAAAAGGGAAAAAACCAAAGTCAGCTCACTGACACTTTTTAGGAAGTTTATTGGGAAGCTTGGTTCCATTTGCCATGCAAGTTTTCCAGATGAAATAGCCTGTGGTTGAATTTATACAATTAGGCTTTTTCCGGTGTCCAGGTTTCTCAATCGAGAATGTCACGGCTCGGGTAGGAGCATGACAGAGCATATGCGGGTCCCCAGTCTTGGTGATATCAATGGGGTTAGTGCCTGTGCCGTGACCGTATGACCTGGCCGTCACAGGTGAACTTACAACATAGTCCCTAGCTTCAAAAGCATACGTGGGTTTCCCTATCGTCCTCTTCATGAGTTCTTTGTGAAAACAGAAAGACTGAGTCTGCCAATAATCAGCAAGAGAACAAGATACAGTAAATAAAATTAAAGTAACCACAAGATTGTAACATCTGACAAACAATTGGTAAGGATTTTCAAAAATCTTTTGATCAACTTTGACAGTATTTTTCCACGCAATGAACTCTAAAACATGGGAAAAATATGCCCATAATTAGATTTAGATTTGCTCAGACCAGAAAAAGAAATCTTAATTTAAGACAATAAAATTACTTTATAGACTGCAAATTAAGAACATACTATATAGTCTCATTTTTCTTTGACTTATGTAAAGATGAAATAATGGTTAATAATGCTCAGTTGGCATAATTTAAAGACGTTCAATGAAATAAAATTTTCTTACAAATGTCAACGATTTACAGCAAGAAAATTTTATCCTGTTTATTTAGAAACAAAATCAGTTATGCTAAGAAATATGTGCACAAGATTTATACATTCTGAAAACAGAAACACATTATTGAAATCTGGATCTGAAAGCTGCAAAACATGATAAATTAAATTAAAAGAAATATTAAAATCACAGATCTGTTATTTTCCTAGGACACTTTTCCTATCTTTGGCACAATAGTGTTCAAGTTACAAAGTAGAAGAATTGAAATAGTAGCAAGGGCTGTATCATTTTAGTCATGGATCTTGTAAACCATGTACCTTCCATGTTGAGAGTATTTTAAAATCAAATTTATTTCTCCAAATTTCATTTTTTTTTTTTTTGAAATTCCTAATCTTACTTCTATGATGTATTTCCTTTTTCTTACTTTTTTTTTTCCACTGTTACTTCCTGGAGGAAGGGACATGAATTCTGACCTTCACTAAGAACAGACTGACCAAAAATGAGGGAAGCAAAAATATGTTTCCACTTATTTACTAATGCTTCTAGTGTGTGTATGTGTGTGTGCATTTGCTGTCAAGAAAACACACTCATCGTTTAGGAAAAATTTTTTAACAGAGGTTTGCTGAGCACAGGTTTGAGGAGTAAGAAATAAAATTCATTTTGCTAATTATGTTTAAAAAAAGGAGTTTCCTTTAAATCATCAAAATAACCCATTTCCCATTTCACTGTTTTTTGTTTTTGAGTATTATATTTTTCCTAGCCATCTTTTTCTTACACTTATTGATTACTGACATTCTTTGGTCTTTTCGTGAACATTTGGAGAACACCATGCAACACCACTCAGATTCAGAAACCATTGGCAACCAACAGACTGTGTGATGTTGAGAGCAGAATGGAATAGATACAGACACAAATGGTAAACAATCATGAATCAACATACTTCATCGTGAGAGTCCAAAAGACAAAGCAAATGTATTTATTATAAATATAATAAATGAGTGCTCCATAAAGGTTTTGGAAGTGGCAGAGATGGGTTAACTGATTTACAGTTAATGTAAAACATTATAGTCTAGCAAAAATACCCTGGTCATATGCTGGAAATTCTTCAATGAACAACAAGTAGAGATGGATGGCGAGTTCTAGAAGTCAGCATAATTGAGCCAGGAATTGAATCTAATTACAGAGCTCAACACGATCCATCATCCACTTTTGAAGCTATACCCTGCCTTCAAACAATGGCTCTCTTGAAATCTTTAGGAAATGAAATTTCTAATTCTTAACCTGATATATTGGGTAACCTTAAAACAAGATAATTCCACCCACTGTACTCTTTGCATAAAACTTTGAGATTCCCTTATTAAAGGAACTCTGCATATAAAGAAATGGGGTTTTTTTGTCCCTTGTTTTAAAAGGTAACAACTTAGTTATCTATTATACATTCACATTCTTTTTTCCACAGCGGAAGGAAGGAGTACAAATTGTTTGTACAAGAACACGTCCGTCCCACTGCAATTGTATTGCAGCCCTCATAGCACAGGATAAAAGACGACCTCACTGGATATGCCAACGCACTAATGTTTGTTTCCTCTTCATTGCCACACTTCATTATTCATTATAAAGAAGATTTGGGGTTGGCTTAGACTAGACTGACAACTTAGATTTATTCGGGAGACTACAAATTACTTTATTCCAGTCTTTTTCTATAAACCAAACTGGTGTCTACTCCGGGTTGCTGGATCAATTCCACAAAACCCAGTGATTCAAGCACACGCAGTCTTAGTTAAAATGGCAAGCCTGGGTCTGAATAACATCCACTTATGAGTCAATCAAATTGTAACAGGGTCTCCGCGAATGCGGATGTCACAGAATCTCTGACTATAAGCAGGCTCCCTGGCTTTAAATCCCGGCTCAACACCTTCCTAACTTCATCTTTTTATGCGTCCATTTTCTTATCAGTAAAATACGGAACTCTTAGTACCTAGGCTTCTTAGGGTGGTTGAAAAAAGTAAATGAGCACATAGAACAGAGTCTGGTGTATAATTAGCACTCAATAAATGTCAGTGGCTATTATTATTTCATCATTTAAAGATAAATACTGCATTAGGCCTTTTGCAGTCAGATATTTGATCAACATCTTATAAGTTCACCAAAATAGCTAAAGAAACCACTGTAACCCGTGATGTTTCCCCTTTGAACCCTGAGACAGCTCAGAGAGAAGTATCTTCATTACACTCACGCTGTTTCCGTATTTATCAAGCAAACATTTTCTGACTACACAGTAACTTCCAATTCCTCATCTCACACGTTGCTGGCTTAAGAAACTGAATCTAAGTCTCCTTTTTTGGTAAAATCAAAGTGAAATATTAATGACTTTGATGTTTTAAAAGGGAAGTGGAGAAAGTCCTTCCAAAATGTACCAAAGACAAAAAGAACTCTGGGCTGGCTGGCTCTCTGTCTCTTTCCATCCATTCTGCTTCTTTCCTTCTTTCCTCCTCTTTCTGTCGTTCCTCTTTCTAGCGACAATGAATCCTAGGTTCTTATTGTTGTATGTTATGGGAAAACACAATGGAGTCATTCACAAACAAAATAAGTTATGCAGACCAAATCATGCAACCAAAGCGCACGAGAGAGACAGGACTCCAGAGCAAGACTTACCCCACGCTTTAGGCTCCTGAAGCAGTGGATTTTGGGTTTGGAGGTCATGAACTCGTTGAAGCGATGGGAGAGGGGTTCCTTTTGCTGCTTGGGAGACTGGGGGCCGTTGGGAACAGCAGAGGGTGAGGCAGAGGCAGGGGGAGGAGGGGGAGGCTGATGGGGGGATGTTAAAAGGGACATAAGCTACGCGTAAGAGATGGAGCAGTGACAGAGTAAAAATCAGAAACAAGAAGATAAGACACAAACAAAAATAAGCATCAAATCATATTTGAAACCCAAAGCAAGTCAAACACAAACAATTAAATATTTAGGCCATGGTCCAAAAGAAAACATGGAGAATATGTTAAATGAAGAATATGATGAAGGTGGGACTTTCAGTAAGTAATGCAACACAAGAACAGCAAGAAATATTCGACAAGAAGCTCATGCAGACTTTTACATGCAAACTACAGTTCTAATTAGTTACTGGAAACCAGTTCAAGCCAGAAGGGTGAATACTTCTAAACTGCCTAAACTAACACAGCTGGATGGGAGAAAATGAAAGACCTTAAATGCTAAGATTGTGAAAACAGCAAGACAGTCTTTTAAAATTAAATAGTAAATTATTCTAAGGTTAAAGCAGTAATGTTGTCTTGATCGTATTTTATGCCCAGGTTAATGCTGTCATGCAACTATGTGTCACACTCTAAAAAGAAAATGAAAAATGTTCATGGGTACACGTGTTAACATGAATTCAAAACCAAGTTATTAACCCATGGAAACAACTTCAATTAGATAGGCTGATAAATTGTTATAGAAATTTTGCGCAATATCCCTTCTCCCAGCCGAGGCAACCAGCAGCCTAGGAGACTTAGGAGTGAAAGGCGTGATGCAGCATGGCCGAGCAGTCAGTAATCTGTTAGTGTGGGTGACACAGTACGGGTGATAATGCATCTGAAATAAGACAGATGGCCATGGCCGAGGTACCACCACCAAGGAGAAATACTGTTTTCAAATAAAATCTCATACTAGCTTTTCTTTGCATTCAGGTTTAAAATCTTAGGTTTTTTAAGACTAAAAGATAAAGTCAAAAATCTCCACACTTTATAAAAATTCATTTCACACTGGGTCCAACCATCAGTACCTTATTTTTTTTGATGAACGGCCATAACTTTCCTTTGGATTTGCCACCAAATTTGAGCTCTGGTTTGCCTTCTCCTCTGGAATTCGAAAGGCTGTTATCAGAGACAGTGCGCTTCATTGGCTGAGTGTAATCCTCAAATTCCACGTCTCCGGGAGGCTCAAACCCTGACTTATAAGCTTCTATTACCAGCTGTGAATCCTGAAATTACACCCAATCACACACAAATACGTTCAAATACATACAAACACTTTTTACACAATGAATTATGACGACCTCATACAGATGATATCCTAAAGAAGTTATATCGATTAATAATAGATTGTGTCTAGTAATATTTTTATCACTAGAAAGAATAAGTATAATTTGTAAAGCTATATGTCTAGTTGAGATTTGAAGATACTTTCAATAGCCATTTTTTGACATTTGGAGAAACAAATATTAATTAAGAATGACTTTGCTAAAAGCAGAAAAATTGGACCATTATTATGCAATTCTCCTGAAAAATATGGAAATACAAAAATTCTAGTTCTCATGAGAAGTTCTTATAACAATGTAGCATACACAAAGTCAAAGCAGAGAGTAGACAATCTCTCCAATTTCCTTGGTTCATTGTGGTTCAAAGACACTGATTTATTGTATAATTTTTCTTTGTGCATATATGTGTTCACAGTCCTCCACTAGAATGTAAGCTCTCTTCTGCTTTTCCTCTACTGGATCCCTAGTACCTAGACAGTGCCCAGCGACAATGGTGTGCAATAGCGTTTGCTGAATGAATCAATGAACTGAATGCCTAGTCTATGGTGTACACTCTGCTGGGATCTTTGGGTTCACCGTCTTCTCAGGGTCAGGTAGTAGAGACAAATGTGTAAGGAAATTACAACCACAGTGTCTCAGATAGATAGATCTACAGATAAAGTATTATATACATAGTATATATAAAGTGTTATATAATAACATTCTAACTCAGTGATCATCTGATTAAAATAAACTATTAGAGAAGCCAATTTGGATAGATCTCAACTTCTTAATGAGCCCACATTTTAATTTGCTGTAGCTATTTCAGCTAATACATAATGTGTAGGTGTGCCATAGACTGCCAATTGTCTTCCAACAGCCAATCACCCTTCCTTCTTAGTATCAGGAACCCTGATTTTAAGTTGGGCCCATTGCCACCCAGCTAAAAGGCTTCACTCTCCAGCCTTCTGTACAGCAGGAGGTGGCCACCTGAGTACGTTTTGACCTCTGAGATCTCTGAGAGGTACACAAAAGTACAGTGTGCAATTTTAGGAAGCCTCTTTAAAGGGGTGGCATGGGCCATTCTCTATATTCTGCTCTCTGGAATTTGGATATGATGGCTGGAGCTCCAGAAGCCATATTGAGTTTGAATGTCACATCATCAAAAGCTGTGAATGGGGAGGAGCCTGGGTCCATGAGGACTTATGGACCATCCGCCCATGCCACGGCTGGACCCTCTGCCTGTGGATATCTTTTACATGAGAGGAAAAATAAATCGCCTTGTTTAAGACACTATTGTTCTTGTCATATGAAGCCAAACCTCTACCAGCAGATTCTGTTCACACTTCTAAGTGTGCTGGTGACTACACTGATTTATTCTAGTGAAAACATGATCATTTGATATATAGTCATGAGCCATGTAATGACGTTTCGGTCAACGATGAACTGACTTAGAATAGTCCCTTGGATTTAGCATCATAAATGTCATAGGTGAACAAGAATTATCAGTGATATAATGGAAACAAGGCTTCCAGAATGGGAGAAATATCCTATAAATCTAGCGGGCTCACTATTTCCCAGATAAAACTGATAAAGAGAAACCATCATTCAGACATAATCTTGTGAAATTGTAAAATTTCATGAAAAAAGAAATTTCTAAGCATCTAATACAAGAAATTAAAATCAGCCTTGTTTCAGGTTTTAATCAATGCCAGAAGTCAATGAAGCTAAAAGAAAAGTCAAGACGCCCATAGAGGTAACCTCACTTTTGAAGGTTTACCTTATAAACCCCACTATTACCATTTCCCTTTAAGAGACACCCCACACAGTAATTTACTGGTGACTAAAATTTTAAATAGGGTGATCAGATAGTCACTGAGACTATTTCTTGATTTTCTTGTTTGAGCCAGGCATTTATAACCACCAAAAGACTTTGACCAAACTCAAGATGCAGAGATGTACAGAACTGACAAATCAATGGTGATAAGAAAATGGGACGGGTACTCATAACATGGAGAAACTTGACTGCATGGATGTATGACCAGTCATACATCTCTAAACCAAGAAACAATTTCAGCCAGAGGCCTGTCTCTCTTTTGAGATGCGTAAAAGAGATAAAGAAAACATCAACTAATGAAATTTTCAATTCAGAAAAAGGACGGTTTGATCACTTCTGAAAACGTTGGCATAATGTAGTTTTGGGGGGAAGCACCAATAATTCAGAAGCATCAATAATTTTTCCCCAAAAAGGTAGCTAAAATCACTGAAGAAGGAGGCGCTAGGCAAATAGGTATTAATAAAGATCAAGGAGACCTAAAATCAAAACAAAACAAAAAAACCCACACCGCTACCTTAGAACTATCCCTCCTACAAATACTTACCATTTAACACATTTGAAAGTATTTGTGCACACTGGACCAACAAAAGCTTTCTACACACATGGCTTTAAATGTTAATACACATCAAATGTTCTTAGAGCAATGGAGAATCTTTCTGCATGCTAAGATCTATTCACAAGAAAAAGACAGCTTCAATCCCTTCCCTGGACTCATATTTTAAGATGCTCCTATGACACAGAATACTTATGGCATACCTTTTATGTTAAAAATCTGGTTTGGAAATTAATAAAGGTTTGTAAAAGCCTATTCTGGTGTTCTAGTTGATATTTTTGTTGAGGGAAATAGACTTCTAGGAAAGGAATCCAAATGGATAACACTGGCTCTAAAGCAGTGCTCTCAATCAGAGAGGATTTTTCCCTGCCGGTGACACTGGGCAATGTCTCAAGATACTTTTGATTGTCACAACTGGGGGAGGGGTGCTACTGGCATCTAGTGGGATGCTGCTAAACATCCTACAGTGCTCAGGACAGGCCTCTCCAATAAAGAATTATCTGGCCCAAAATGTCAAAAATGCCCTCAAGAATCAGCTCCCAATTTGAAAGGTTACTCAGCCAACTTATAAGAAAACACTTCAATTTAATTCTGCAATGTCTCAGACAGCTTACCACTTATATGTGTTTTCTGCAAAAGGAATTTGAGAGCTAAACTCAAAACACGGAAGGCTTAATAAAAAACTCTCAAATGGTGTTGTTACTGTTGAAAAGTACTTGTGACCATGGGAAGCAATTATCTATCACGAGATGATTAAATGAGGTCACCATGGAAGGGGGAGGAGAAACAACGGAACCACAAACACTAAGTTGTAAATTAAGTCCAAACTGCAATACTTACATTTTTCTGATCAATTGAGTTGGCCGCCTTTACTATCTCATCCAAGCATTTCCCAATGATTGGGATCACCTGCCGATCAACCTCGGCGTATGTCTTCATTGACTCTCCAACTCTCACTATCCTCCTCTCCTCCATCTCTTGTATTTTCTGCAATATTAGATTTTGTATAAAATTAATTTGGTCCACCGTTATTTAAGGAAGTTGTCTTCTGGTAGCACTGTTACCTCTAATCAATTCTCTAGGAGTTGTATAGGCCTATCAATAGGGTTTGAGTTAGAGGAACTGTAGCTTGATTGTGCCTCTACATGAGCCAGCTGTACCCATATTTTCTGAATTGTTAGATTGTCCAAATGTATACTTTACACAACTCCATTCCAATTTCAGTAAGAACTCCAAACTCAAGGAGTTTCTTGAACACCATTTGGTGATATGTTTCAAACATTTCCTCCATCTTTGACCCACTACTTTACCCTTTACCAAAAGCATAGTATCCGGTTAACTGTCTCACCAACACAGGCTGAGATGTGACTAGTGAACCTTCCCTCTACAAGTTGGAGGTTCTTGTTTGCTGTGTGTGTAGATACTAAGAAGCAAATATTTATTATTTTTTTCTACAACTGGACTTGAAGTTGTAAAAGATTCCCAAAGTGGGAGAATACAAATATCTTTTCTCATACCATTTTTGACAAGCTAAAGTAGCCAAAAGCAAAACGATTCAAAGGAAAGAACTGTCATCTGTCTGAATCCTACAACTGTATGAATGCTGCTTTGACTCCTAAAGTTAAGGTGTAACCAAAATGGTCCTTTTAGCAAGAAGAGCATTAATCTAAGAACTACACTTCTAAGACGGGCAGAAAATGACTGGGGGAGCAAGCCAAGGAAGTTTGCAAAGGCTACTGATTAACTTTGAGATTAATACTGCATTTCATCTTATTGCTAGTCAATGCTTCATCTAGAAGCTTTAAAAAATGATTTGAGTTAGTGGATATTTAGAATTATACAAACACTTGGAATATAAGCCCAGCAATCATGATTTAGAAGCAACGTGTTTCTAAGCAAAGCACATAGAAAATCTGAGAGATCTGGATCACTTACCTGAAAGATGTTGGGAAGGTGAGTGTGGTAATATTCATGCTGCTCGTGGTTGAATTTCTGAAGAAATGACGAGTAATCTGCTTTGCTGTCCTCTGCCATTTGGTGACGCATTTGAGCCTGTTGCCGTGCCTTAGGGCAAAAAATGAGAATACCCCAGTTTACACATGATAAAGAAAAGCCTAGAACAGCAAACTGGAGGGACTGGGGGGTCAATTTACCCAAAATGTGTTGTATTTAGCAGGTGCTATTTTTAAAAAATTGTTTAGAATTTGAATTTACTTGAGGTAAAGATGTGCATCCTAATTTGTCACAAACCCCACCATTCTCTACTGTCTTCTGTTGGTACTACTTTTAGTTTAACACAAGTGCCATCATTCTTTATTGTCTGTACTTGGCCTAGTTCACATATTTATGTTACCTGGCTGGCCCTCATGGCAACCTCTGCTCATTTTTTTTTTTTTTTTGAGGAGGGGATGGAGGAATCCATAAATTTTTTAATCCAATTCTCAATGCAGTTCATGAACTAAAAAGGCATATGAACCACTGATCTAAATGGACTTTTCTAAAACTCTCCACTACTCTTATTTTTAGTATATACTTTAAAGAAGCAGTAAGCATGGCGCCCTCTTTGTGCTTTTTATATTTTTGGTGTGCCACTTTGTGTTTTACTGCATTGCTTTTCTCCTAAATAATAATAAAATTCACAAATTTGTTTCTCTCTTCTAATTCATATTTCGGTTAATCACACACCTACAAGAAAGGGGCAATTGTTGACAAGTTGCAGAATCGATTTTAAGGCTCAAACAAGCACGTCTGTAAACTCTCAAATCATCCACAAATATGAGAGATTGTCATGCTGGTTAACACCTCCTTAGAGTCATCCGGCACGTTTGAGGTGCCTTGATAAATATTATCTCATGAATCTAACACAATCTGAGGTCCACGCAGGGTAAGAACTGCCCCCTGCCAGGTGAAGAGATGGCTTGGCCTATAGGTGACGTGGCAAACTCACCACACGGAGCCAAAAACACAACAGGAAAAGGGCCGTGTTCCAACATAACCAAGGCAACTTTTTGTTTGTTTTTTGTTTTGTTTTACTGAGCCTAATAAGTTTACTGAGTTTTAAGAGAGAACATAGTAACATTCAAATGTAAACACGAGAAGAAATGCTGGAGAAGTTTGTCTCACTTTCTGTCCAATCACCGGTACATCTACTATCGGGTTTTGAGCATCTCGATGTTCTTTATGGGTTTCCTGCCTCTGTGACTTGAAGGTCAACCTGTCTTTCACTTCCTCCACGCATTTGACTCATCTGCGAGTTGGTGAAAGCCTGATGTGGTACCCAGAGGAGCTTCCTTTATTTTTTTCCCTATTCACGCATCAACACTTCCCAAATGAAGGTGACAATATCAATATTTCCAAACTAATTTCCTTATTACCTGAGGCTTTTTAGCTTCTTAAGGCCTTTAGGTATCTCAAAACCATTTTATCCACTTCTCATCTCCCCGCGGTTATTCCAGCTGCCACATTCTTCCTCTTTGTTGGTGGCCTGTCAACTCCCTTCCTGACCATATGCTTTGGCCTCTGCTTCTCCTGTGTCCACTAGTAAATACATTAACCCAGTCCCCAAAACATTCAATTCCCAACTACCCTCAAAAACCCATGCGCTTCCAATAGGCAGGAGCCCTCCTCTGTTTAAATAATAACTTTCCCACCCACGTACATTCCATCTGTTCCCCTGATGCGCCCAACACAAAAATCCTTTTAACTCTTTCAGTTACCTGGACTTTTATCATTTATCACTTTATGAACATGAAGGAAAAACCCAAGGAAATTCCCAGGTAGACCTCAAATTTCTACAAAATTCTCTATTCATTCACAAACCTTCCTCAGAAAAAGTCTCACAAAAATCCAAGGGGTGTGGTTTCTTCATCTCTTTTGTAAACAAGAGTAACAAGTAACAAGATGGGGAGTTCTCTTATTTATTTGGGAGAAATGATTCCATCTTGGTGAATTCTTTAAATAGCCTAAGTTTTGAAACAGAGATTAGAATGTCATTATTATATATGTATGTATACACACACACATCACATGAGCAGATAAAAGCTTCCTGACAATAAATCCATCATACCAACCATGGAACATTCTACCCATGAGAACTGGAGGCGAGCCCTGCTGGTACCCTAGCTCCATTTGGTTGGAAACAGCTGTAATCCTCTTCCTCTTAGCTCCCCAGAATCTCCCATGATGTCTTCGCTTTCGCTATGTAATTGCTCTCGCAAGCATGTTAACTCATAAAAGTGTCCTGATGGGCTTTACTCTGTTTATCTGAGGAATCCTGAGACAATAAGTAGGGACCGCTAGCTGTGAACTATGGAAAAAGATGAAATAAGGAATAAGATGTATAGAATCCAGCAGAAAGTCAGCTGAGCAGAAGAAAACAAACCACACAAACATACATTAGAGGGAATGAGTCTACCTGTTACGGAAATAAGCATCATCTCCCTGGGATGTTTTTTTGAATGTCAAAGCTTGGACACAAGAAAGCCTATGTATTTCTATAGTCCCCCTCACTCTCATGCACCCACTAAAAGGGTAGAGAAACACTTAAAAGCAGCAAAATATCATCGTACATCCAATTCTGCAAGGCCACAGCAGGAAGACAGGACTGTTTTATTCTCAAGGTCAGCATCCAGCTGCTTTGAATTAATACCCAGTTTTGAATCCTGGGCCCAGGAATGTGCCATGGTTCTGACCAAGCTTTACTATAGAAAATCTATTTTGTTTAGCAAGTTGTTATGTTTATTTTACAACGGAATTTAAAGAGTCTTTCTCTAAAACTAGTGTTGAGCCAGTTACTCATTATTACAAATATGTTTTTAAAAACTCACCTGGAGTAACCAGTTTAAGTTAACTAGATATTTTAGAGTGTGTATCTTCTAATGTCTAAGGCTGAATGAAGATTATAAGTATCACTATTTCTCATTTCTTTTTAAGTCAGTCTAAAAATAGCAACTATTATCTTAAAGAGGTACAGTATTTCCATTCTGAGCCAGACCATAAGCTACTGCTTTTAATTAAATTCCCCATTCTAAGAATAAAAGACACTGCGTCTTATAGCAACATTACTGTAGGACAGAGAGAAGTTCAGAAGATCGGGTTGTTCTTTTTTTAATGAGTCAGAGTCACAGAATTTAGAGATAATATTCTCAAAAAATCCAGAATGACCACAATTGCCTGAGGCTGTAAGTCACAGGCATCTTTGAATAAGATCTAGACCACTTTCATTGTCAATCAGAAAGACTGAATTTAAACTTGAGAATGTCTTTGACAAACCCTTGGGAATCTCCCCAAATAAATCCAAATAGGCCCAAGTATGTACTGTTTAAGTATGACTTCACCGCTTGGTCATTCTTAACATAGTTCATTTCGACATTCCATGTAAGTAAAGCTGTATTGCCTAAAAGGTCAGAGTTGCAGTTTCTAAATAAAGAAGACAATATTTTAGAAACTGAACTGCAGCCCAATGCTTCTAAATCCTAATGGGTTTAAAGACAAAAAGACTGGAATCCTTTTGGTTAAATTTAGATTATTAGCATGCCCCAAATGTGTAGCTACTTCCTGTTTAATTCAATATTACTTTAGTCTTTCAAATATTAAGGAGAAAATAACACTGCTGGCTGAGTCTCAATTATCATAAGCAGAGACTGCAAGGTGAACTAAGAAACTTGTTCATTTCACACGGGGAACATGGTAGATTTGCTGACAACGTTATACCCTCACACCTTTTATCAGAGTTGCTTACGGCTTTGATCTTCTAACAAAATGTGCAAATACAGACTGGTTCTACTTATATAGTTACTGTAAATACATAATGAGATTTATTAATTTTTTGAACCTGACCTCAGAACTCGCAGGATTTTCTCCACTGTTGTTCCTTAAATGGAAAACCATTCATTGCAGCAGGTCAGAGCTTTTGCAAGGTCACTTCCTCTCTTTGCTAAAAGCTTGTAATATAACAAATTAAAAGGCCCATCCTTTATTACCAAAATTCTGGGGAGAGCGATGAGGAATATTTTACGGTTATTGCTAGTAGCTCAAACAACAGTAAATGTTCTCGGGAGCAGCTGTACTTTCAATATTGTATTTCATCACGACAAGAGATCAACTGTATTTTATGCTGGAGGGAAAGTCGAGATTTTATTCTGAATTTACTATTCTGAACCACAGTAATTATTATTCAGTAGCCGGCGACCTGCGGCAGGTCCACTCAGGGGGCAGATCAGCCTGACTGCCATCTCCGGAACCGGGCTAGAAGGGTGTGGGGCCTGGGCTGGAGGCCCAGCAAGAGCCCAGCAGGGCACTTGGCTCTTGATTCATCCCTCTTCAAACTACCCGAGCTGCTGGCTTAATATTGCGGATAAAATTAAACTTCTGAGTTTAACAACCTGCGTTATCTGGCCTCTTTCCATCTTTAGTTCTTTGTACACCCGATTACAAAAATTTGCTTGCTGTAAATAATTCAGATTTACAGAATAGTATGGTTTAGAAAGTAGAAGTCCCTGCATGTGCCACCCTCTGATAATCACCATTAAAGAGTGGCAACCCAGGGCCGGCCCCGTGGCTTAGCGGTTAAGTGTACGCGCTCCGCTGCTGGCGGCCCGGGGTTCGGATCCCAGGCGCGCCCCGACACACCGCTTCTCCAGCCATGCTGAGGCCACGTCCCACATGCAGCAACTAGAGGGATGTGCAGCTATGACATACAACGATCTACTGGGGCTTTGGGGGAAAAGATAAATAAATAAATAAAGTTACAAAAAAAAAAAAAGAGTGCCAACCCAGAGTTCTTAATTGAGGGGGGGGAGGGTCTGAGAAAACACTGAGGGAGGTACAGCCTCCCTCAATTCCAGTGAATTGCCTGGGGTAATTCACTGGAAAGTTCCAGAAGAACAGCTGCAACGACACTGCTAACTGACACCACCACATTAGAATGATCCCCAATCCACAGCTGGCAAACTTGGTGAGTCTCAGAGTCACCAAGGAGCTCCAACCACTGGAGAACCCAGCCTTTTGGGTGCGGCCAGGTTAATGAGAAGAAGCACACACACTGTCACAGTACGCAAGGGAGG